TTTTTTTTGCTAAACTGTATGTTTCTATTCTTGTTTAATGTATCTATGGAGCTCATTTAAATATGTAATTGATAATTAAGAAATATACATAGTATTTAGTCATCTATAATAATTAAATTCGTGGCTATGTTAGGTATGTTTTCAAGGTCAAGAAGAGGTATATTTTAAAGATGGTCTTCAAACACTTCAAAGACCAAGAGAATATGATATTTTAAATATTTTAATAACATAAGTCTTTTCATGACAGTGAGATGTGTCTGTTCATGGCAGCATCAATTTACTTCAAAAAAAGGATGATGGTGGGGCTGGAGAGATGGCTCAGAGGTTAAGAGCATTGCCTGCTCTTCCAAAGGTCCTGAGTTCAATTCCCAGCAACCACATGGTGGCTCATCTGTAATGGGGTCTGGTGCCCTCTTCTGGTCTGCAGACAGAATATTGAATACACAATAAGAAAATAAATGAATATTTTAAAAAAAAGGATGATGGTTATCACAGAACTGTCTTACGGAGTTTGCTTTCAGTGTATCAAAGCTAGCTTTTTGGGCAAGAAACTGTCCTTGCCTCAACTGCTGACAATTGTGTCCAAATTGGATAAGCAGGACACAAAATAAGGTGACTGCCAAACTTTGCCAAGACAAGGTAGGTGGAATCCAAGTTATCTCCATAAAGAGAACTGGGACTTAATTGGATCCTTAGACTTTTGTTTGAGGTGGGAACAGATCTACTTCTCTATTTCTTGAGCACAAGGTCTGGCAATTAGCCACACCTGTAGACAATCATCTTGAGAGAGCGGAACTCTCTAAACCAACATCTAGATGGGGCCTTTGTTTGAGGTAGAAGCGCAATAATCTTGTAAGTTCCAACTCTCTGACCTTTGGTCAACATGGAAATCGGCTCATAGTTTTGCGCCTCTGCAGCTTTCCCTCCTAACTTCCTGCCCAGCTATTGGCCTGTCAGCTTTCTATTAACCAATGAGAGTAACACATATATTCATATTGTACAAAAGGATTGTTCCACAGCATTCCCTCCTTTTGTTTAATTAAAAAGGAAGGCTTTAATCTTAATGTAGTAAAATTATATACAACAAAAACAGTTATTAAGTAAGAATTACAGTAACAACATCTAATCCGTTTGCATTTGGCAAAATTAGAGAAAATACTTAGTTATCTATCTTATCTTGGTGAGTCTAAAGTTTGTATCTAATTTACTTTCTAATTAACTAAGGGAAACTATAATTAAAACTATTTAGTCTTCAACTCCATCAAAGACCCCTACAAGGGTGAAATGTTATCTAATGACAGGGACCTCAATTTGTATGGACAGTCACCCAAAGTTCCTTTGCAACGTTAGGGCATCCAACTCTGGCCGACAGGTTTAGCATATCTCATAGACTTTCCTGTGAAGCAGGGAATTCTGAAGAACTTTCCTGTTTGATCTTGGCAAAGTTTGGAAGTCACCTTTCTTGTGTCCGTTGACTCAGTTTAGACAGTAACTGTCAGCAATTGAGGAAAGGGCAGTTTCTTTGCCCACATGGTTAGCTTTTGCAGTAAAGAAAGCAACTGACTTCCTGCCCAGCTTCCGGCCTGTCAGCTTTTTAATTAACTAACGAGAATAATACATATTCACAGTGAAGAACAGGATTGTTCCACAGCAACATACAGAGATAGTAACGGAACCAAAAGATCCATGAACCATGTAGACACTTAATTTTTTTAGGCCAGCTATATAATTCTTCAGAGGAATGTTTCCAGCACATATTTGTTAGCATTTAACACAAGGGGAAAACAAAAACTCCTTTCTCTCCCAACTTCTAAAGAAAAAAACAAAAATAGCTTATGAGCTTGGTGGAGTTGTGCATCCATTTAATCCCAGTGGGGAGGCAGAGTCAGGTGGATCTCTGTGAATTCAAGACCAGCCTGGTCTACAGGGTGAGTTATGGGACTGTCAGGGCTGTGTAATGTTTTCTGGAGACTTCCATTTTCAAAATGTGCTTTCAAAAGAGTTCTGGGTTACAGTCCCATGGAACTTCATTGAGGAACTCTGGGTCCCCATCTCAACACTCTCAGGAAACATCTAGAACCAGGCCTTGAAGACTCTGATGGTCACATTGATGTAGCTCTCTACAGAGCTTGCTGGGTGATGCCATCACAGAGTTCAGTGGAAGATCCTGGTCTGGACTCTCTGAGGTTCGCATGAGGTGCTTGTGGAGATGGTCAGTCAAGCTCATGGTCATCCTGGACATGTCTTGTTGGCAATAAAGCCTGCCTGGCTATCAAGATCTCAGCTTCGCCTCCAAGATCCCCCCCCCCCTCATGTGAATCAGGAGCTCACTCGACACGAATGTGCTTTCTGTTCTTATTAAACGCTGCTTCCAGCAGCCAAGCCTTCAGGAACACTGCTTTCCAACTCATCAGATACTCAGTGTGGAACCACTTGGGCAACTTGCTATGGTCTCTGAGAATCTCAAAGTCCTTTCTTGATGGTGAAGCTGCAGGAATGAACATACGAAATATCTTGGGGGTGACCATACTGCATGAGCCTGGCTATAGGAAGTCAATGCAGCAGCAAGCCCAACTCTCTCTTTCTTTCTCTGTCTCTGTCTCTCTTCTCTCTCCCATTATACTACTCCTGTCCCCAGAGGCAGGTCTCCCCTCTTCCTTTCCCCCTTTTCCCATTCACTTTCTCCCCACCCCATAAAAACCCTCCCCTGAGCTCTGTTGCATGGTGTCTTTTTCTCACTGGTTTTTGTAAATTACAACAGCCACTCTCGTGTTTTCCTCGATTCCCACCTGGCGTTAGTTTGTGTGTCTAGAGTTAACACCAGAGTCTGGTACAACTTTATGGAAAGCTACCAAGTACAAGCCAGAGGCGTGGGAACGCGCGGTAGCTTCTGGGAAGTGTAGTTCTGCACTGCTCCACGTCACCAAGATGGTTTCCGCCAACGTTTAACCGAGATGGTTACGTGTTATTCGGAATCTCGCCCTGCAGGCCGTTTTTACGAGAGGGTTACGTTTAACCGAGATGGTTACGTGTTATTCGGAATCTCGCCCTGCAGGCCGTTTTTACGAGAGGGTTACGTTTAACCGAGAGGGTTACGTGTTATTCGGAATCTCGCCCTGCAGGCCGTTTTTACGAGAGGTTTACGTTTAACCGAGATGGTTACGTGTTATTCGGAATCTCGCCCTGCAGGCCGTTTTTACGAGAGGGTTACGTTTAACCGAGAGGGTTACGTGTTATTCGGAATCTCGCCCTGCAGACGCGTAAAGCCTATTCAGTGAGTTTGAGATGCCCTTATTATTCACGATGGCACACCACCGTCCTTCTGGGTAAAACAGTAAAAGCCGCAGTATTTGAGTCCCGGTCTCATTCCCTAACACCACCTAGACGAGCTGGGAAAAGTTCGCGGGAAAAATTGACTAGATCCCGAGACTTCTGGGAAATGTAGTCCACAGTCAAAAGAAGGAAATGGAGAAAGATCCGCTAGTTTAGAGCCCTGGTGGGCAGAGACCTCTGGGCGTGCTGGCAGGAGTGCGCAGGCGCAGGCTTCGTGGCTCGCCGTTGTCGCCTTTGTCTGCTGGTGAGTTTGATTTGGGGGTCTGTAGAGCCGTCGTTTTCCTGGGCCCGGACGAGCCAAAGAAGCTGTAGGGGAGGGTTTGTTGCTCCTGCAAGGGCGAGGATGCCCGAAGGGGTGAGAATCGCTTACTGTGACAGCGGAGCTGGGAACTTGGGCGGATGGGGGCTGGGAAGAGCCAGAAGCCGGGGTGGGTTTGCGGGTGGGGTGAGCTTACGTGTGAGGGTGTCCTTTGGTTGGTTTCAAGTTAGAGAGAAACTGAATTCAAGTTAGTGAGAATACACGAATGGGAATACACTTGTCACATTTTAAGAATAAAGCCTTGTTCTAGTAAACAGGAAAGGGAAAAAGATAAATTGAGTGAGTCGTTTAAAAGTTTTTTTTTTAATAAAACATGACAGTACAAAATGAAACCAACGTTCCTTTGAAAAATCTTTTTTTTTGTAACGAAGATTTCCAAAAACTTGCTATTGGGTGCCTACACATCAGGAGGAATTAACTTAGTACTTGGAGAAACTTCAGTCGAGCCTTTTTGAGTAGCCTTTGAGTTTACGGAATAACCCTTAGGAGGTACTTTCCACTGTACAGATTCGGAATAGCTTTAGGAAAGTTGTCCCCACCCTCGGCAGAGAGGTCCAGAAGATATTTAGTACTTAAATACTCAAAGGGCTAGGCTCTTTGCCAAGTTAAAACTCTTAATTTGTTCAGATGTTCCCCATACCGAGTAGCTTTTGTTAAAGTACAGTTTTTCTTCTGCATTTTAGAGAAGTATTTTGCTTTTTTTTTTTTTAATGAGGGTTTCTCTGCATAGCTCTGGTTGTCCTGGAACTCGCAGGCCTCTGCTTCCCAAGTACTGGAATGAAAGGCCAGCACCACCATGCCTTGCACGTCACAATTATTTATTTTGAGACAGAATTTCTCTGTGTAGCCTTGCTATCCTGGAACTAGCTCTGTAAACCAGTCTGGCCTCAAACTCAGAGATTTGCCAGCTTCTGCCTTCCAAATGCTGGGATTAAAGGCGTGTGTTACCACTAGCTAGCTTGTCACACTTCTCCCCCCCCCCCTTGGTTTTTTTCAGACAGAGTTTCTCTGTGTAACAGTCCTGGGTGTCCTGGAACTGCTCAGTAGACTGGGCTGGCTTTGAACTCACAGAGATCTGCCTGTCTTTGCCTCCTGACTACTGGGGTTAAAGGCGTGTGCCACCACCACCCAGCTTTCACATTTATTTTTAAAACATGTTTTTCTTTTTTTATTTACTAAAGATTTTATTTTTAAAGAGGTGTGTGTGTGTGTGTGTGTGTGTACGTGTACTTGTGGGCGCGTGGGCACGTGGGAGTGCTGATGGAAGCTAGAAGAGGCCATCAGATCCCCTGAAGCTGGCGTTACAGCCCTGGGTGAGCAGCCCTGTGTGGCTGCTGGGAGAACGGTACGTGCTCCTGACTGCTGAGCCGTTTCTCCCACTTATTAGCAAATTTTTCTGTAAGTGAAAGGGCTCGTTCCAGGACAGGTTCCAAAGCCACAGAGAAATCCTGTCTCGAAAAACAAAACAAACAAAAAAAAAAGAAAGAAAGAAAGAAAAAAAAACTTTTTTAGCCGGTCAGTGCTGGCTCACACCTTTAATCCCAGCACTTGGAGGCAGAAGCAGGCGGATCTCTGTGAGTTCGAGGCCAGCCTGGTCTACAAGAGCTAGTCCAGGACAGGCACCAAAGCTACAGAGAAATCTTGTCTAAAAAAAAAAAAATAATAATAATAATAAAAAAAAGAGTCAGTGTCAACAATTGGATAAATGAAGAAAACAGACATTCAAACTAACAAAGAAGACACAGCTTGTTTTAGTGTGTGCTGTGTACATCTGCATGTGGGTGTGTGCAGAAGTAGTCCTGAGTGCACACGTACATGTATGCATGAGCATGTGTACGGGCGCTGTAGGGCAGAGGCAGATGCCAGGCGTCTTGCTCTCTACCTTATTGTGTGAGTCAGGGTCTCTCTCACTGAGTGAGCCTCGCTCTCCCGCTGAGCCTGGAGCCCATTGACTCAGCTGCCTGGCTGGTCGGTAAGCTTTGGGGATCCACTTGTCTCTGCCCCTCTGTCATCTGCAGACTCAGGACCTAGTGCCTTTCCTGACCATCTCCCCAGCCCCAGCTTGTTCTAAATTATCCCTCAGATATCGCCAAGCCCCTAAGTACACCCTTCTACTGTGGTTTTCTCAGAAACGGATTACAGAGGTCTGTTTTTAAGGAGTCTTTTTCTATTTTTTTAAACTTTCTTTTTATATATTCTTTGTGTCTTTTCATATCACGCATCTCAATCCTGTTCATCTCCCTGCCCCTTCATATCTGCCTTCTGCCCTTGCAACCTCTCCCAATAGAATAAAATTTAAGAAATAAAAAGGGAAAAAATCTTGTTATGGAAGCCGCACTGTGACTCAGTGAGTCACACAAGTAAACCTGTTGCTCCATACAGCTTTACTTGCGAGTGTGCATTGCAAAGAGTCATTGGTCTGGCTCAAGGCCTCTGATTTTTCCTACATTATCAGTGCTGGGCCCTCACCGGGACTCCTCTTGGATACCCTGTTGTTGCCCAGTGTCATGGAGATCCTGCAGCTTTGGGTCTGGAGGACCTGCCCCTTCACGTACTTCCACAGGTAATAGATGAGGTGGGTGTTGGGGTGGGCCAGCTCATAGTCCTGGTTCTGGGCCTGGGTGGTTGCTGGTTGGTCAACCCACCAGCTGTCCCCTGCCCTCACCACCAGGGTGAGCTCTCCAGTACTGCCCCAGCTAGTTCACCCCTTGAAGCAATGAGCTTGGGGTGGGGCAGTTCTCCAACACCTGGACCACCAGGGCTAGCTCTACTGTGCTGCTCAGGCAAGGTGCAGGGGCCACTGTCCTGAGTGCTGCAGCTGGTGAGGGCAGGGACAGCTCTCCCGCTCTTATGCCCTCAGGGCCATCTCTCCCACCTGCCACGGGGTGGGGTGGGGTGGGGGGCAATCTTTCACCTGCCCACACCACCAGATGGCAGACCAGACGAGGGGCAAGGCCGGGTCTCCCATGCTCATGTTCTCTGGGTAATCGCTGGTACCTGTCAGTAGCTCTGCTGTGCTGCCCAGGTGAGGTGCAGGTCCACCTTCTTGAGTGCTGCAGCTGGTAAGGGGAAGGGCCGGCTCCCTTGCCCTCTCCACCACATGGCAGGCAAGGAGATGTGCCCAGCTGTTCCACTCACTCACTCACTCAGGGGCAGTTCTACTGTGGTGCTCAGCAGCTGGTTAGGGGGAGGGTCGGCTCTCTGGTCTGCTGCATGTGTTGAGAGGTAAAGGGGGCATCTCTCCCCACCCATGCCATTATATGGCAGGTGAGGGGCAGGGCCAGATCTCATGCTCCAGTTCTCAGGGCGGGCTCATCCATGCCTGCATGCAGGGTCAATCTGTTGTGCTGCCCGGGCAAGGTGTAGGACCCTTTCTCCTGAGTGCTTCAGCCAGTGAGTGGCAGGACCAACTTGTACAGCCCGATTCTCTCGGCCTTTGGTGGTATGAGTCATGGACATCAACAGAGACCTTGGCTGTGTCAGAGACATGAACCCAGGTGTGGGCCTGACATTGGCAAGCAAGCCATCCATCTCTGCCCACTCCTCACTTCTTTTCCTCTTCAGATGTGCCTCTGTCCTTTGCACACAGGACATGACCATTCTGCCCCCCTCCCCCATACCAGACTATACATTTGCTCACTATAATAATGCCCATCTACCTGGGGTCACAAGGTGCTGGGTGGGCCTGTGCTTCTTGGAGCCCAGGACAGACAGACCCAAGCCCACGTGTGGGTTTCCTTGTCCTGCTCAGTCCGTCATGGTGACGGGCAGGACCATGCTTCCTCATCACAAGGAGACCGTAATCGTGGCCAACTGCCTGGCACCTCCTGGTTGGTGAGAAGGTGTTGCTGGAGTCCCCTCGTGGACTAGGGCTAGAAAGCCTGGGTTGCATTTGATTGAGTTCTGCCTTCCCCAGGCATATGGTGTGGGGCAGATGTGTGGCTGGGGTCCTCTCGTGCAGGCTGGGGCTCTACGTTTTTAATCCGTGTGTCCAGCGGTCTAGTGAATGGCTCCATTAGGAGATTTCAGAAGACCTTCAACCTGACTGTCCTGAAACTCAGTATGTAGAGCAGGCTGGCCTGGAATTTGGAGTGTAAAAGAACAAGCCTTGTGTTGCCATACACCACTACAAGCGGAATCCTCATAGCACAGGATCGATAAATGTTTGCTAAATTCAGGATGTGCATATAGTTACAGAAGCCTAAATTACATTTAATTTCTCCAAGAGTTACTAAACCTAGGTAAAATATTAAACCTGAAAAGGTTTTAAGAGCTGAGTTGTTAGTGTTATCCAAATAATTTCCTGTATGTTTTGTTTGTGTTGTTCATGGTTGATGATAACTTTTTTTTTCTTTGGTTTTTTGAGACAGGGTTTCTCTGTAGCTTTGGAGCCTGTCCTGGAACTAACTCTTGTAGACCAGGCTGGCTTCGAACTCACAGAGATCCACCAGCCTCCCAAGTGCTGGGATTAAAAATGTGTGCCACCACCGCCTGCCTAAATTGATGACTTTTAAAAGAAACCATGTTTTTGTTTTACTTTTGTCCTTGTTGGGATTGAACCCCTAACCTTTTCAAGGCAAAGCCCCCCCCCTCTTTCTGTGTGTGTGTGTGTGTATGTTTGGATATTTTGCCTGATGGGATAGATGAGTACAACATGCGCTTGTCTGGTGTCTTTTGGAGGTCAGAAAAAGATGTCACATTCTGTGCATCTGGAATTACAGATGATTGTGAGCTACCATATGGGTTCTGGGATTCACTCCCGGGACACCTGCAAGAGCAGGAAGTAGTCTTAACCACTGAGCTTCCTCCACAGAAGGTTATCTGCAGTCTTTTCTCCCTCCCTCCTTCCCTTCTTCCCTCCTTTCCTTTGTTTTCTTTCTTTTGAGATTTTAAAACTGATTTTTATTTTATATGTATGAGTGTAATTGTTTTTTCTTCTTTTTTTTTTTTTTCTTTGGGGGCCTGTCACCCAGCTCCCAAATAAATATGAATGCCTGGCCTTAGCTTGGCTTATTTCTAGCCATTTTCTTAACTTAGATTATCCCATCTACCCTTTGCCTCTAGGCCTTTCCCTTTCTCTATTCTTTATCTTTCTTCCAATTACTCTGTGGCTGGTTGTGTCCTGGGTGGCTGGCCCCTGCCATCCTCCTCTCCTTTTCCTTTTCTCTTTCCTCCTCCTCATCTACTTCTATTCAGTCCCTCTGCCTGCTAGCCCCACCCATTTCTCTCTCCTGTTCAGCTATTGGCTGTTCTGCTTCTTACCAGACCAATCAGGTGTTTTAGGCAGCCAAAGTAACATAGCTTCACAGAGTTAAACAAATGTAGCATAAAATAATGCAACACATCTTTGTATCATTAAATAAATATTCCACAGCATAAATGGTTATAACATATCTTAAACTAATTTTCCACAACATACGGGTTTGCCTGCACGTATGTCTATGTATCGTATGCATACAGTAGGTCCAGAGGCCAGAAGAGGACACTCGATCTTATAAACCTGGAGTTCTGATGGTTTGTGAGCTGTCCTGCGGGTGCTGGGAACTGAACCTGGGTCCTCCAAAAGAACAGCCATTGTTCTTAACTGCTGAGCCATCTTTCAAGCCCCCTTTCTTTTTTGGGCTCAAGATGGGGTCTCACTGTGTAATTCTGGCTGTCTGGAACTCACTTTGTAGACCAGGCTGGCCTCAAATTTATAAAAATGTGCCTGCCTCTGCCTCCTGATTAAAAGTGTGTGCTACTACTCCCAGCCCCTCTAACTTTTTAAAGACAGTTTTCATGTAGCACAGGCTGGAACTCACTATGGAACTGACCTTGAACTTCTGCTCCTTCAGCCTCTGTCGCCTGAGTACCTGTACCAGTTTATAGTCTCTCTCTCTCTCTTTTTCCAATTGTGTGTGTTGTGCATGTGTTTTTTATGTTTGTTGACATATTGGTGGTGGAAGGGCATGTACACATGAGTGTGCCTGCATGTGGGTGGGTCTTACACTGATGTTAGGAATCACCCTCCATCTATTTTGCTGTTTTGTTGTTTTGAGACAGGGTTTCTCTGTAGCTTTGGAGCCTGTCCTAGAACTTACTCTGTAGATCAGGCTGGCCTGCCTCTGCCTCCCCGGTACTGGGATTAAAGGTGTGTGCCACGACTTCCCAGCTCCCTCCATCTTCTTTTTACTTTACTTATTAAGGCATTTTTTTTCTCCACCACACTCAGAGCGCCTATGGCTAGTGCTACTAGCCAGCTTGCTCTCAGGGTTCCTTCTCTGCCCTCTGACAATGGATCCGAGGGAGCCAAACACCTATCTTCATGCTTGCTGTTACAAATACTTTAACCACTGAGCCATTTCTCTGGCCTTCTATTTACTTTTTTGAGACAGGTAGCCTAGACTTTTCTCAAATCTCCATCTTCCTGCCTTGATTTCCAAGTTGCTAGTACTGGAAACACATGTTCCCACTCCTGCCTTAAACCTGTTGCGGGAGTTGGGGGGAAGATAAGACAGCAGTTTGCCTTCATTTGGGAGCAAGGCCTCCTGTAACAGCTGCCCAGACATCATGGTGAGATGGCAGTTTGGGCAACCTCAGAAAAGTCGGTGTCATAGTTTCTCTGTATAACTTAAATTCTGAAAATGAAATACCTTGTGTTACCCACATCCGAAGTACCTTTTGGTTTTAGGCAGAATTTTGGGTTTATCCTGAATGCAGACTGCCAACGCTCTTGCCCTTTGCTTGTGGGCCTGAACGCACCGAGGCTCCTAGACGCACGGGACTTGGTTGTTTTCGCAGGCCAGTGGAGCAGAAGTTTGCCTGCTCTTCAAACCTCTCCTGAGTTCTAAGGCCTCAGCCTGACTTGGAACTGCTGCTTTGATTTCCAGAGATATCAGCGTCCTGAAGCGCTTTCTCTTTGCAAGTTTAGAGTCTACACTTCAAACAGAAACGGTGGGTGGTTGAGAAGTTAAGTCTGCAGGTGAGTGGAAGCCTTGTATAACGTTCAGTGTCCTGGGTGCAGTCAGGCTTTGCAACCGCCTATGGGTTTTTAGTTGTTGTTGTTGTTTTCAATCAGCTCAGCCCCATTTGGAGGGACGACTGCTGAAAACCCTTTAGACAGGTCAGTGATCCAGGCCCTGCTTTCCTTTCCTCACCCTCTATAGGATTGGTTGCTCTTCTAACTTCTCTGCTGCATGCCAGCCCCCCTCCTTGACTTCCAGGCCTAATTTTAATGGCTGCTCCTGTATCTCCAGCTCTCATCTCCATAGGCACCTGCACTCGTGTGCACAACCACACACTAACACGTTTAAGACAAACAGCAAACCCTACAGAGCATGCAGGTCTTTTTCCTTGTTTTAACTCCCTGACCAACACCGCATGGCAGCTATTTGAGTGGCATTGCCATAGTGTGCTAGATATTCTGTGTAACCTAAAAGGGTTTAACTGTAGGAGGACATGCATAGATTGTCTGCAGAGATGCCCTGTGGATGCCCAGGGATGGCTCGGTAGCCAGCTGTTTTTGCTCAGTTTTTCCTTACCCTGAACTACAAATCGGCAACCACATAAGTTACTTTTTTTTTTTCCCTTTTTTCTTTTTGGCTTTTCGAGACAGGGTTTCTCTGTAGCTTTTGGTTCCTGTCCTAGAACTAGCTCTTGTAGCCCAGGCTGGCCTCGAACTCCCAGAGATCTGCCTGCCTCTGCCTCCAGAGTGCTGGGATTAAAGGCGTGCGCCACCACCGCCCGGCTCACATAAGGTACTTTTTATTGTTGTTGAGACAGGGTTTCAATATGTATCCTTTGTTGTCCTCAAACTTGCTGTGTAGCTCAGGCTAGCTTCTAACTCACTGAGATTGAGTGCTGGGATTAAGAACTGACTCCTACAAGTTGTCCTCTGACTCCCACACACGCAGTGCATGCGCACCGGCTCAGCACACAGCACAGAATGAGTATGTGCCTCCTTGTTCCTTCCTTTTTACTTTCATGAACAGTTTTGCAGTAACGTGCTTTATCTAGCATGGCTGTCTTTGAATGGATTTCTCTGTATTGGATGAGCCTGTTCTTGTGTTGAGCACGTGCAGAATTTCGGAAAGCTTTCTTTATTCTGTTCCGTTCTTTCTCGGTTGTTTTCCACAACTCATTTGATACTTTTCAGACCTCCTAGATTTTATTACTGATGCACTAATTCTCCAGCCATTACTCTAGATTCCTTGGTTTCGTCCACCCTTTCTACTTGTTTCTTGCTTTTTGTGTGTGTGCTAATGTGTTAAATCTTTTTGAAAAATATTAATTTTATTTATTATTATTAGTGTGTGTTTGTATACAGGCATACTTCTATGGTATGTTTGGAGGTCAGAACGCAAGCCTGTGGAGTCTCCTTCCACACGGCTCTGGGGCTCAAACTCTAGTATCAAGCAATTTATCAGTCGATGTCATTTGGCTCTAATTTATTAAACTCTTAAACGTATACGGCATTGTTTTTTCTTTTAACTTTTTATAATATTAGCTATAGTGTTTATTTGTTTATCTTCAGTGGAAGGAGTCTGTCTTAGTCAGTGTTCTCTTGTGTGAAGAGGTCTCATGACCAAGGCAACTCTGTAAAAGAAAGAGTGCAGTTGTGGGCTTGCTTACAGCATCAGAGGGCTAGTCCGTCATTCCCATGTAAGGGCCAGATGGAGGCACGGTGTGTTCATGCTGCTGTAGCAGTAGCTGAGAGCTGTGTTCTGTCTCCAGTCAGAGCACACTGAGCCTGCTGTGGGGCGTTTGAAACCTCAAAGTCCTCTCCCAGTCACACTCCTCCTCCAACAAGGCCACACCTCCTAATCTTTCTCAAACCGTGCCGCCCCCTGAGTGACTAAGCATTCGAATATATGGGCCTATGAGGGCTGTTCCCTTTCCAGCACCACAGGACTAAACCCAGGGTTCCTTAAGTTTGGGATCTTCATTTGCCAAAGTGCTGAGAATACTTTTTCTTGATATTTCCCTTCTAGGTCTTTCCACTGATCAAAGCTGCATTATGGGAGTAGGGATGCAGCTCAGTTTGTGGGTTCCTTGCTTACGTGGACCTTTGTAGTCCTGCCTTTGATCCCCGGCACCCTGTAAATCATGCAGATTGGCACATGCCTGGTACAGGCAGGAGGAGTGGAAGCTGTCAGTTGGTACAGGCAGGAGGAGTGGAAGCTGTCAGTTGTTGAATTAGGCGCCATCTGTTGAAATAGGAGCAGCGGCAGGGCTGCGTCCCCGGCACCCGGCCGCCCGCATGGCTAGCTTATGCCCGAAATAATTACACGGAAACTGTATTCTATTAAACACTGCCTGGCCCGGCTAGTTCCAGCTTCTTATTG